AAACCCAGTGAGACACAGTGGTCGCCCAGAGGTTCCCAGGCCTTCACTCTTCCTAGCACCCCCCAGTGCAGCTGCTTTGTCTCCAGGGGAACAATTCCAGCCCATAGGGCTTCAACTTGCAAGTGCATTCTATCTAGGAATATTTAAAGACTGTGTAGTTGCAAAAGAGCCAGGTGGTGGCCCACACCTTTAATCCCAACACTCCTTAGACAAAAGCAGGTGGATCTCTGGGAGATCCAGGCCAGTCTAGTCTATACAGCCAGTTCCAGGTCAGCTAGGGCTACAGGGAGACCCTGACTCAAAAACAGTGTTTCAAGAGAAACTGTGAGTGACAGGGTTTCATTACAAGCTCTCTGTCCTGTCCAGTGACAAATCAATTTTAAAACAACGTATCAAGTTATGGGAGGGGGGTATGTTTTATTTAATTGCTATTTCTTCTTCCCAACTATAAGGTTTCTTTTTGTTTGATACTCTAACAGCCACTCTCGATGGTAACTGGGTGGTATGAACCAAGGGAATCAGAAATTAAAGAACAAAGCCACTGAAAAAAAATGTGCTGTCAAAAATCAGCTATGAATTGCCAATTTAAAGCTAACCCTAGCCTATCAATGAATTACTTTATTGTGGTAATCAGTCCTCCCAAACAGCAAAAACACACCCTGCAGACACAGCTGGACTGGAGGCTGGTTCCAAGGAGCATCAGCAAGCTACTCTGATGGCACTCTGTCAGATGCAGGAAACACACCTGGGAGACTGACATACTCTGGTGCCATTAAATCATTTATAATTTGAGATTTCCTTGCATTAAATTATAGTTTTGCCAACAGACTCTGCCCTAATACATGTGTATGAGGTAACAAAACTAGTGTGCCTTACAGGGTCGCCTCTGAACTCCAGAAGGTAGCTAGCTGTTCATGTCGGTGAGCATAGCCTGCAGGGGGGGACTAGACGGGACAGACCCAAAAGTGGAGAGCACAGGGCACAACCTGGGAAGTGGGCGGTTTCCATCTTTTCATCTAAATCCCTTAAGAATCCAGAACACCAAGGGCACATGTGTCAGAGCCTGTGTTTAAAACTCAAATTTTAACCATCATCCTTCTGCACGTGCTAACACGGACATTGCATCCAAGACCAGGCATTCATTCTAAGACAGGGCTGTTTAAAGTAGTACCAAATATTTTAAAGAAACTTTTCCAACAGCCAATTCAGAACCTTAAAGGCTGTTTTTCTTTTCTCTAAAGAAAGCTTCTATCAGAAGGGAAGCTGCTCTGGGTGTTAGCACCTCTATAATTTCCTTTCTATTTTCATGAGCATCAAATTCCAAAACATTACTGAAGGAAGCCAGCAGGGTGCCTTGCAATGCCAATGGCTCGGTCCAGCAGTCATCTGAACTCTAGAAATGCGCAAGGAAGGAACTTTTACTCAACAATGTCTAGAAAATGCTTTGGTGGCAAAACCCCTGCAGGGGCTGGTTTCCTCACCACTCAGCCAGGGCAGGGAACCCGGAGCTCACAGTTTTCTGTAATATGCCCCATTCTACCTTCCTGGAAACAAATTTTCTGAGTCCTGCAAGCCCACCTGGGCCCCAAAGTAAGTTAGGCAAGGCTTGAGGGACATGCTTTTGGAGCTATTCACAGAGAAATCAAACAAGGGCTCTGGGGCATCTAATGTAACCTTAGGGTGGAGATTTTCACTGCAATTCAGAATTTCACTTTTAGATTCTGAACTGATAGTCTTTTTTTAGAAAAAAAACCTTTTAAAACACATGCACTTGGGAGTGGAGAGATGGCTCAGCAGTTAAGAACACTGTTCTTGCAGAAGACTCAGTTTCAAATCCTAGCACCCACATGGCAGCTAACAACTCTCCTTAACTCCAGTTTCAGGGGATCTGACAGCCTCTTCTGTCCTCAGGCATTGCACGACACGGGTGCACTTACTACATGGAGGCAATACAGGCATACACAGAAAATAAAAATAAATGAAATTTAAAAAAAAAAACAACTATGTACTCTGTGTGTCTGTGTGTCTATGTGTTGATATATACACGTGAGTGCTGGCGCCCAGAGACGCCAGTGGCTTTCGATCCCCACAGCCAGAGTTACAGGATGGTTATGAGCCACCTGACATGGATATTGGGAACCAAACTCAGGTCCTCTGCAAGAGCAGCAAATGCTCTTAACCACTGAGCCGTCTCTCCAGCCCCAACAACGGCTATTACTAGAAACAAATGTACTAAAATGTGCAGACTTCTAAACATGAAACATCCTGGAAGCTGGGGCGCTGCAGCACCTCCTGTAACAGGTACAGAACTGGTCACCCCGAAATCTGGAGAACACTGACTCTTCTGACATCTCTACTAATGACAAATATTTTATCTGGGTGAAAGGTACAGTGCCTTTAAAAAAATAATTAAAAAAAATAATAAATCTATCACCCAGAACTTCTTCTGACATCTCTACTAATGACAAATATTTTATCTGGGTGAAAGGTACAGTGCCTTTAAAAAAAATAATTAAAAAAAATAATAAATCTATCACCCAGAACTTCAAAGTGAGGCCCCAGAGCTGATGAGTGTGTATGTGCGTGCTATGACCCAGCAAGCTAAAAAAAAAAAAAGACACTTTCAGTTTGGGATTTGTGGGGTTTTCTTTTTTTATTTTTTGAGACTGGGTCTGATATAACCAAGGTTGGCCACGAACCTAACTCCACCTCCCAAGCGATAGGAATAAAGGCAGGCGCTACAATACTCAAAGTACAGGTTTTCTACAGAACCCTCGATGCTAATGTTGTTGGTCAATCCCTGACCAACACGATTCCACTTGGAGAAGGACTGACCACAGGGAAAAGCAGTCAGAGCATTACTTTAGTTATTACTATTAAAAACTTACACCCTCTGGGAGGTAAAATTTCCAATACATTTAACACTTTTGCCATAGCAAACCTTTCAAAGCACTTCTCCCAAACCAAACAGCAAAACCTCAAACACATTTAACTTGAATCCGCAGGTAGCTGATGCCCGCTCATGTCAACACACCGAATCCTGTCTGTGCCCCCCCACCCCCAGACAGGCACTTGTCTGGAACCCAGGCAAGTAATTACTATTTTCTCCAAACCTACAAGAACAAAGATGCTGCTAGTGTGAACTCGGGCCTCTGGAATCAGATCTCCTCCACACTAGTAACAGTGACAGCCCCTTCATGCAAACCCGCTTTTTCTTCATTTATTTTTGAATGAACTAGCGCACATGTGAGCACCACAGTGCATGTGTGGGGGTCAAAGGACAACCATGAGAGTAAACACTCTCTACCATGTGAGCTCTAGGGATCAAACTCAGGTCATGGGGCTTGGTAGCAGCAACTGCCTTTACCTGACTGAGCCATCCCACTGGTCCTAAAATAACTAACGCCATTTTCTAATTTTTCAAGAGCTTGTAGGAGGGAGGGAGGGGTTAGGGGCTGGAGTGGAGCAAGAGACCTGCAAAATGCTGCATGGCCTGGTCAAATAAGACCACACCTGGAACCAACCAAGCCTGGTGACAGGTAACCTCATATCACAACCTTGACAGAGGGAGGGAGAGGAGGGCTCATCTTTGCTCTTGCAGAGGACGTGGAGTGAGTTCCCAGGCCCCACAAGGCAGCTCACAGTCAACTGCCTATAACTCCTGATTCAGGTGATCCGACCTCCTCTTTTGCCCTCCTTGGGCTCCTGCACACACATGGTGCACATAAACTCACACAGGCTTACACCTATACACATTGGGAAAAAAAAAAAAAAACAGATCTCTAAAAAAGAAAACACACCACGGTGCTGCTTGGTTCCAACCCTTCTCCAACGCACTCCCAAGGCCATCCACAGCAAGGTAAGGACAGGACCACTGGTCTTCGACCCGCCCTCTGCTGAGGCTGGTTTTAATGGATCTGGGGCAGTCAGCTAACCTGGAAGTCTGGGGCAGAAGGTGGGGGAGCTGGGGAGAGGGGACAGAACATGCTCTCCAGGATGGCTAGACACAGTTGAAATCAGCTTCTGAGCAACTGCCCTTGACAGCTTCAACCACCTTGGAGGCTGCCAACAGCACACAGCTTTTGATAATTAGGAGCAGATTAAGGGTTCTCCTTGTAAGAAACCGGCATCTTTAGGCACCCCTCCCCCCAACACAGTGGGCCAGTGTAACAATTCACCCCACCCCTGCTCCCGCCTTTCCCCTCCAGGTGATATATAGAAATGAGGTCCGTGTTCTGCAGTTCTGGAGGTTTCTGACCCCAAACAGCTAATCCACTAATTTCAGTATCTACCCCCTGCCCCAGAACCTTTCCTGCAGGGCCTCTGCCGGCATGTGAGAGAAGAGAGACCACTGCGGTTCCAGGGTGGGCTGTGGTCCCGCCCCTCTCCTCTCCAGCATCCACTACTAGGTAACAATCTGGCTCCAGACTTGATTTTCCCACTGACATGCCTGCCCCACAGAAAAGCCATGCAGAGGGAGGCGCCTCAATGCCTGCCCTCCACCCCACCCAGTTGTGAGGTGTCTTTACCAAGAGCTCCATAACCAGTCACACTGCGGTAACAGATGGTCGGCCCAGCAGCCCTGCTGGGCAGGAAGGAGGGCATGGGTAAACTAAAAGGGCCGGCAGGCTTTTCCCAGCCAGGCACTGCACCTGCCCGCCACTGCACCTGCACAGCAATGCCCAGGGCCAAGGCTGCTTTCTGGGCGGCCCCACAGGTCTAGGCCATGGCGCGCTCCTGCTCCTGGGCTGCTGGTGGAGGGCTGATCAGGGAAGAAGCAACTGGCCAGGTGATCTCCACCCAATCTCAAAGCCCCCGACGGCCCGGGAGGGCAGGCCCCGGGATGCAGCTACACACACAGGGGGCAGTCTGGCACGCAGGCTGCTGCAGCAAGCAGCAGCGGGGCAGGTATCTTGGCTGCGCCCAAGCCCCAGTGCGTTCCGCAGGGCGAAAACCCAGCTCCTCCCGCCCCCCAGGAGCCCCCCGGCCGGGCTGCCCACCTCTGCGCGGGGACCCGTCGATACTTTCGGCGCTGGACGAGTGCGTGTCCGCCGGAGCCCGCCGCAGGCTGAAGTAGCCGCGCGACCGCAGGGCGCCGCTCCGGGGCGAGGGCCCCGCGTCCCTGCGCGCGAAGATGCCGCTAAAGAAGCGCAGCAGCCGGTGCTCTGAGGCCCCGGAGCCGGCCGCCCGCGCGCGCTCCAGCCGCTGCAGGTCGCTGTTGTCCAGCGTGCGGTTCTTGCTCTTGCTGCGCTCCCAGCGCTCCAGGTCCGAGAGCGCGGCCGTCTTGCTGAGCACCTCGCCCACGTCCAGGGTGTTGCGCTTCTCCGAGCCCGGCTGCGCGGCGGCCGCGGGCTCTAGGGTGGCCTCGGAGCCCGCCTCGGCCTCGGCGTCGGCGTCGGCGTCTAGTGCCCAGGCCAGGCTCCCGGAGCTGCTGTGCCGCCTCCCGCCGCCCAGCGCGGGGCTCCGCGGCGCCTCGGGCTCCGTCCAGTGCCTGAAGCTCAGGCTCCGCCGCAGGGGCGCGGCCCGGGCCTCCTCCGCCTCGGGGCTG